AAACAAATAATTCAAAATAAAAATACAATTATGTAAATATATAGAAAAAATTTATTTTAGATTTACAGCTGGAGTTCTACTAAAACTATTTTTATAGGGTATTTTTCGGTGGCGCAGAACTAAAAGAAAAATACCAAAAGCGTCTTCAACAAATTCTGCAATTAAAACAAATTTATTTAGTGAAGGAATTGTGTGCTACAAAATTGTATCTTAATATCTTCTGTTCAATTTTCGAGGTGGGCCAAGAAGGCAAATAAATCTTGCAGGAAAAAAAAAAAGAAAACAAAGTCGTTCACTTAAGTCTGCCGTACTTAGCCATAAGAGCGAAAGAGATTTAGCACATAAATACTTAGCTAACTGTCTGCTCTTGTGGGGTAGTCTATTTTAGTAAAACGCTTAACCCAGTTGAAACCCGATTACGTGTTGTTGGCTGGGAAAAAAAGGCGTGGGCACGTGGCATACGACACGCCATTAAGCAGCAGCACGAAAAGAACTAGTAGCAGCAGCAGCACCAGCAGCGGAAGATACACGACATACGACTGGATCCACGCCCCTCTAAACGCCTTCGTTCGTGTGGCATAACCCTTGACACGCCAGTCGAGATTGTTTTCAATGCCCGTGGGGCATACGTGACGCGTGTCCTAAAGGTTAATGCGCTGTCGATATAAAAACCAAAATCCCCGGCCAAAATGCAAATTGTTAACGTGACTAACGTAAAAGCCGCGTACGTTGCTGCTGACGAAAAAAGAAAAAAAATGGAAATAAAAATAAATGGTTAAATCTCTTACAAATATAAACGTCATCTCTCTCACTTGGCAATGCCAAGCAAGTCAGGTGGATTTAGAAGCATTATTTCTTGTCCTAGGATTAAAGTTCCCCCACTCTTATTCCATTTCCATATGAAGCTTAGGCTACGTGCTTATCACGTTGTGTATATAAAGACTTAATATTTTACTAGGAATTATGTGAAAATATTTTCCATAATTTCTGAAGCCTCTTAGTTTTAATCTTATTTGAGAATTTTTTCTTATATATAAAAAAAAAAAATTCCTAAGGTAAACATTTAAAGGATTATCTATTAAGAATTATTTAATATTTACAAATTTGTTTTTCCAAGGGCAATAAATAATTCAGCTAAAATAGCTTAGGTTGCATAACAAAGCATTTTTTGTTTTTTCCTTACTTCAAGTCTCTTTGTAAATAATTAATGAATCCAGCTCAACTGCTAACAAAATAAATCAATAAACAATTAGTAAAGCTTCCATACAATAACAAATATTTTTATTAATTGACCTTTAACATTTATTGAATTTTCCTTCTTCATTTCAGACGAGCTTCTGCCTGTTAGTTTCACATGCCGCCTGGGCAAAGAAATTGAATGCAAGTCAAGCGTTTGACGACACATGGAACACAGCATCCGATTTGGAAAATGAGCTGGAAGTGAGTACAAAATTCGCTAATCTCAATCTAGCTCACACTTTCAGCCACACACACACTCACACATACATACACACCCATACAGTAGCATATGCAAACGTTTGGCATTTCAATTAGCAAAGTTCAATAAGCAAATCCTTATCCTACAATTGCAGCAACAGAAGCGTTCAAAGGGCGCCGGATCAACGGGTGGCGCAGGCTCCAGCTCCGGCTCTGGGTCTGGCTCTGGCTCTGGCTCTGGCCAATGGTCCGGCTGGTCGGAATGGTCAACATGTTCGCGCACCTGCGATGGCGGCATCATGCAGCAAATACGTCGCTGCAGCACAACCGGCACCTGTCGCGGCGAGAGCGCTCGCTATCGCATCTGCAACATGCAGCCGTGTCCCGAGCAGCAGGACTTCCGTGCGAACCAGTGCGCCGCCTACAATGACGTTCCCTACGACGGCACCCTATACAAGTGGACGCCTCACTATGATTATGTCGAGCCCTGTGCCCTCACATGCAGGTGAGTTGTGTTGCATACTAAAATAAAGTCGACAGCGATGCGCTTATGGGCCAAAGTGGCCAAAGTGGCCAAAGTGGCCAAAGTGGCCAGATGACCCAGCTGCTGTGGTACAGCGCTGTCCACTCATTATTCATCATGGCTAGCGTTGAGTGCTGCAACAGCGACTGCCCATATTCAGCTGTTGGCTGTAGTCTATACTCTATTAGAAAGAAGAATAAGATTAAAATTGTTGTAGATTGTTTTCCGAGCTAAGTTCTGGTTGCATTTATATCAAAATAATAACAATAATTTTTTAATAAAGCATTTTCATAAAAGATTTTATAGGATTTTATCATACGGAATCTTACAGATTAACTTTTCTGAATCATATTTCCTTATTATGAAAACTTTGCTTTTCCTCTCATACATAAGATTAACCAAATATAAAACTGTGCTCTTTTCCTCTCTATATTCCTCTCTTTCTCTTTCTGTATCTCCCTATATCTTTGTCCCTGTCTCCTTCTCTTTCTTTTTCTGTATCTCACTCTCTATGCCTCTCTCTCCTTCTTTTTTTCTCTCATTCTCTCTTTTTTCTCTCTCTCTTTCACGTTCTCTCTGTCTGTCCTTCTCTCTTTACACTTTTTTTTATTCTTCCACAGCATTTTTAGTATATAGGGTATCTAATAAGTCTAGTTTGTTCTCACATTTCCTCCTCGCTTTTTTCTATCTTCTACTCTACTCTTTTTTTATAGCTTCATTTGTATTTGTGGCTTAAATTAGTGGCAGTCGTGGCGCAGTGTTTTTTTCTGTGGCTTTTGCGGTAGCCGCTTTTGTGGTTAATCCATTTGGGTTAGATTTCATATTTCGCTTTGCAGCGACTCGCTTAGCTACGGTTCGCCTGGCCATTTACATATAGCAGACACATGCGGGCTATATAAATCATTTGCTAAGCGTCAAAATTCTGCAATTTAGTTGCAAATGAAGTGGGTTTTGGCCAAAAGGATCTCGTTAGATAAAAACTGAATACAGCTAATAAAATGGTTAAGGGAATTAAAAAATTGCAAATAGGAAAGAAAGCTGAGCTAAGAAACCCATTTGAAATATTTTATGTGAATCAGCAGCTGAAAAAAAACTTAATTGCGTGTTTCCCTCAAATTTGGGGAATTGTAATAACTCAGATAAATCTTTATCAAAGAGTTCAGCTTCCAAGCGAACTATCAAGCCATAAGCCAATCTCTAAGCCAGCCAATCATAATCATCGATCAAACCTTAATAACCCTTTTTAACTCAATGCTTTCTCGATTCCAATCAGGGGACACCCGGCTCATCTCACGGAGGACATCTCACCGGAATCGGGCGCGGCTAATGCCGAGGAATCGGAGCATTACGATGAGCAGAGCGTCATTGTTCAGCTGTCGGCGCGGGTGCAGGATGGCACGCGCTGTCGCTCTGGGAGTTTAGATATGTGCATTCAGGGCAAATGTCAGGTGAGTCTTCATCTCCTACTTCTGCTTCTTCTTCTTTTGCTGCTGCTGCTGCTGCTTCAGCTTCTCCTTCTCCTTGTCCTGCATATAAATATGGTCTATCGATGTAATCATAATGTTTAGCCAACGATATGGAGGTGTGTGCGTGTGAGCCTTGTTAGCTTCCTTCCTTCCTGTGCGCTCCAAAACGAAAAGATGATAAATTACGTCAATGTTGTCAGCGCAGATGGGCAGGTGGGCAGGTGGGCAGGTAGGCAAGTGGGCTGCCTGAGCGTGTGGGCGTGTCCGTGGTCGTGGCTCGTGAGCATGACAAAAACAAAAGGCACTGCAGCTTACCGGCCCGGCCCATGTAATACGTACTTACGTATGCATATATATGCAGATTGCATAACGCAAGCGCCTTTGTATCATTATGAACGTGAACATAAATAAATCATAATGTGGGACGGCGGCCTGGTTGGCCGATCTGACGGAGTTTGATATACATATAAGTGAAGGCGGCGGCAAGGGCTGCCACTTCAGCGTCAAAGGCCAACTATTGAAATGCCAATAAAGCGTGCTGCTTGCTGCTGGGCTCCCTGCCTGCCCGCCTGCCAGCCTCTACCCCCTGGCTACCACTTTACGAAACTCACTCGTTGACGCAGGAATGAAGCCCGCGCGCTACAAAGTATGCTATGCAATGCTGACATGAGA